GTGTATTTAGGCTGTTATGCATCTCTACAGCTGGAGTTCTCCGCAGCAGTGAAGACCAGCGCTGAACAGAAAGAGCTCATCCTCAAACTGGAGCAGGATCTCAGCATCATCCAGACGATGTCACGGCCCGAAGCTGAGGTCAGACGCGAGCATGAGCTTCGGAGCCTATGATTGTGTATGATTGAGCCTATGAAAAAAACTTGAGTATCATTATAAGTCAACCTCAAATAAACAATAACTTTAAAAAAAGATAACAGTAGTTTTATTCATCAAGGATTAATCAAATTGATGCGACAGTAAATTAATTTGTAATGTTTCAAAAGATTTGTATTTTTTAAAATGCTGTTCTTTTAAAATTTCAATAGAAATATTGTGCAGCACACCTCTTTTCAACATTGATAATAATCAGAAATGTTTCTTGAGCAGCAGAGCAGCATATTATACTGATTTCTGAAGATCATGTGACACTGAAGACTGGAGTAATGATGCTGAAAATACAGCTGCGCATCACAGAAATATATTACAGTTTAACAGAGATTCACACAGACAACAGCTGTTTTAAATTGTAGTATTTCACAATATTACTTTTTTCTGTATATTTGAGCTAGGGGTGTGCGATATGATGATTTTTGCAATAAAAAATGTCTCCAAGATCTGCTTTTGAAGAAATATCGTAGTATCGTGCTACAGCGCACATTCTATCAGCTGCAGTTCTGGCGCCGCCGTCTCCGTATACTGTACAACGCCGCATTCACATCACATCAGTGTTAACTCAGAGGTAGAGTTACTCTCACAGGACACTGCACTTACTCGCAGTCACAAAAGTACATTATTTGCATCTGCTTTAAAGCCTTGCAAGTTAAACTTTTCATTCACATGCTGTTCTGACGTGCGCTTTTTCTGAGCGCGCACACATGAAGCATGTGCACTAAAATGCCTGTCAAACATCGCCTGATTACTGAAGTTATCTTTTGTGCTAATACTGTCAAAACACACAAGGTTTATATATAGACTCAGTTGGTTATGTCTAAAATGAAAGTAAACAGTTGAGAGAAAAACGGATGTGTGTCTGTATATTAGATGCGTGCAGCTCTTAAAGGGACAGTACTAAACATGCTGCCGACTGTCATTAAAGGGATAGTTCTTCCTAAAATGTAATTTCTGTCACTATTTCCTCACTCACATGTTGTCCCGAACCTGTATTAATTTCGTTCTTGTGCTGAACACAAAAGAAGATATTTTGAAGAATGTGGGTAACCAAACAGTAGCTTTGAATTTGATAGTAGTAAAAAACACTATGGAAGTCACTGTGGATAAGCAACTGTTTGGTTTTCCATGTTCTTCAAAATAACATTTATGTTCAGCACAAGAAAGAAACTCCTATTTAAAACAACATTTGAGTGAGTAAATGATGGTATAAACATAAAACACTATGACAGAATTGACAGACCGATGACAGAATTTTTATTTTTGGGTGATCTAAAACACAAAGAGAAAAATCACTCACTAGACTGAAAAACTTTAATACAGTTGCTTTAATATGAGTCGATCTATATAGTGTTTTCTTTTTATATTCCGTTTCTTGAATGCTCCTGCTAAATACACCTATCGTACCTGAAAATAAAACACTGTTTTATTTTTATATTTTGTGTATTTGTAACATGTATCTTTGTTCTTATTTTTTAATGGCAAAGCTAAAATAATGGCAAAGGTTTTTATCTTCACCCACATTGGCCTAAATATCCGCTATTCTTTTTTTTTTAAATATTTTGTTACGTTGAAAGGCTTTGTCTTTATAATAGGGATATTAGTTTGGCTGTAATGCTCAGACGACTTGCAAAACAGTAAAACCAACATGACAACGAATTGTGATATGATATTTTTGCTATATCACCCACCCATAATTTGAGCAAATAAAAGAATTAACGATACTAGTGACTTCAAACTTTTGTTTTTATGTGTAATATAAGTGTTGGCAAGAAATCACAGACCTCCTGTTGAAGTCTTCACCAGCAAACATTTTTCAGTTTTTCATTTTTTTCTGAACAATGGAGTTGAACACTGAAAAGGCAGTTAGTAACTTGATCTGAGTGTGAAGAATACTGATGCACTTTTTTATAGGAGGAGTAAAAAAACATATGTGAATCTGTTCCAAATGACAGTTGTGGAGGATTACAGTGTTTTTCAGGAGATATATGAACTGACAGCTGAACTCATCCAAAGCACAGCCTTACACACAAGTACAAAAGGCATCTTGACACAAGTCACAGTAATTTGTGATAGCGATTGATTGTTTTTTTGTCATCTAGGGTGCAGACAGCAGCGTGGTGAGCATCCCCGAGCCAATTAAAGAGGCCACCGCTCTGTTCTCAGGTAAACTAAAGAACTTGTGCTCATATCAGCAGCTCATGAGAGCAGGAGGACCATATAATGCTTATGCACACATAATACAGACTCGATTCATGAGATGCTTATACAGCTGTTACTCTGTGTGTGTTGAGGTGTGGGCGGCTCTCCTCAGACGGATCTTCCTCAGGGTCAGATGGACTCTCTGCTGTCCATCATCTCCAGTCAGAGGGAGAGATATCGCTCACGTAACCAGGAGCTGGAGGCCGTGAGTGCACTTCACTGTAATGACTCCTGTTGCTCCGAGGAAGAGAGGCTGACTGTGTTGTTGTTGTTGATGTCTGTCAGGCGAACAGCTCCCTTCAGCAGACCGCACAGGCTCTTCAGAGCCAGCTGGACAGTCTGCGCGCCGACAACATCAAGCTCTACGAGAAGATCAAGTTTCTGCAGAGCTACCCAAACAGAGTAAGTCACGTCACGGCGAGTCGACCATCATCATCATGAATAAACTTGGACATTTCAGCACTAAGGTGAAGTGGTGTGTAGCTCCTGTTGGGCCTAGGGGTGTGCTATATGATTGTTCTGAGATAAGACTTAATTAAATCAGTATCAACAAAATCCATCTTTGCACTCGTGGCACAGAAGCTGCATCTGAAGTGGTATTTTGGTAAACTCATATTTATTGATTAATGCAGCTCAGAGGTGGCATGAATGCATTTACACTGTAATTCCAATTGCAAAAAAATTTAGATTTTTTTTTTTTTTAAAGAAATTTAAAATATGAATGAATCAAGTAATTCTTTATGAACGAGTCATTGAATAGACCTTTATCACAGCTGAATTGATTACCATCGAAACGGTGTATCGATTATGTATATTTTTCAATATGCTGCAATCATCTAGTTGAATAAAAGCCTGTTAAAATGAGATAGGCGAAGAGATATTCTGATGATTACTGTGCACAGAATTTTCCAAACTCAACAGAACTTGTTTTAATCCAACGTAACGTTACCGATTTCAGCACACTGTGCCAGCGCTCGTTTAAATAGTGACTGCAGTGCTGCATTGTGTGCCAGACCTGATGAATAAGATCAGAATTAACATATTCATTCATTTGCATTCAATTCTAGTCATTATTCTGCTGTTTTTCATTCAATCATTCAATCAAATCACTGTATGTAATTCATGAATGTATGCCAAAATTCTTAATTAATATTCAAAGTCACGCATTATACTGTTTAAGAGATATTAGCCTAAATGTTCAACACTGTTAAATTTCTTTAAGGCAACGCCCGCGCATTCATTCATCTATTTTAATACTGCTTTTACGAAAATTAACCATTGTATGTGTAAAAATTAAATATGGTTACTACATATTTACTATAGTAAAACCATGGTTCATTTTTGTAAGGGTGTTTATCAGTCAAATTCATTTAAAAAACGTAAACGGGTATGAAATATGATCAGTAAGAGAAAAACATTGTTAATGAGAAGACAAACTTGACTGCAGCAGGTTAGTTGGGAAATACATTTATTTATTATTCAGAATGCACATTTGGAAGGGAAATGTATTAATACGCTCTAAAAAATGCTGGGTTAAAAAGGGACCAACCCAGCTATTGGGTTGTTTTGAACCCAACCGCTGGGTCAAAACAACCCAACAGCTGGATCAAAACAGCCCAACATCTGGGTCAAAACATCCCAACAGCTGGGTCAAAATCAGTATTTTGTTTAGGCAGTATTTGTGGCACTTTTGTGGCAGATTTGTCCAAAATGTGTGCGTTTTTTGCGCCAACGCATTGTTAAATGATTAAATGATGTAATATTCCCATATAAACTTTAACATCCAATTAAAAAATATTTGTATAGTAAAATTAGCTAATTCACGAGATCAATACATCCTTTATTAGGCCGCTTTGTCGAGTTAAATGCATCTTTACGGAGGTGTCGAAATGCTGAATCAATTCATTCACTTCCAACAGCGCTTAATGGGAGCAGCATAGACAAAAAAGTAGCCATTGATAATATCTAAACAATATGTAGTAGTATAGTATATAGTATCCAAATCAAAATGTAATAAAATTAATTTGTGTGATTTATGTGTAGATTATGTGCAATGTCTTAGCCACTAGGGATTGTTACATAGGGCTATACAGCATCTAGTGGCAACACAATGATATTACAGATACTAAATTGTGCAAAATGTTTATCTTAACAGTCAATTTACAAATAATGCATTCAGATTTAAAGAACTCAATGCACTGAATCTCCACAAATTAGTGCTGTTACTATGACAACCAATTTTAATGTGACAAGCAACTGGTGTCTGAAAAGAATTATATATATATATATGCAATTTTTTTTGGGGGGGGGGGGTAATAGGGATTTCGCCTAGGGCGTCAAATTGGCTAGAAACGGCCCTGACTCGTGATCACCTGACTAAGCATACAGTGATTCTACATTTTAGTTAATGGTGGGAAAAATATCCAGATGCTTGTACAGACACATTCAGAGCTAAGCTGACACAACACATGCTCCCATTTCACCAAACCTGATCCGGTTCGCTTGGTCTTCGGTGACGGTGTTGTTTTGTCATTTCCCTCCTCTTTTGCTGTTCCTGCTGTCTGTGCTGATGCTCGGCGAATGTGTTTCAGGGTCGTGTGATCCTCTCCAATAAGACGGCCAGAACTGTGGCTTTCTTCTACACGCTGATGCTGCACTGCCTCGTCTTCCTGGTGAGTCACACATGATCCTCGGTTTACGCTGTCCGTCACAGCGCACTGCTGTTTTAAGTGTTTTGCTTTTGCCTATGTGTGTGTGTGTGTGTGATCAGGTGCTGTATAAAGAATCCTGGAGTGAGAGTATCAGTCGGGACTGTGCTGCATTTTGTGCAAAGAAGTGAGTGTTTTTACCCTGTGCGAGTTTCCTGAATGACATTTGATCTGGTTTTGAACCACTTGAATTGTGTTTAATGCATGTGGTTTCTGGTTCACACTTTCTTCCTGCAGATACTCCGACCACCTGCACCGTTTCCATGAGACTGGAGATGTGTGGCAGTAGCGGCGTCTATCCACTAGAGAGAGCGGTTCACATCAATCACATGTTCATGACATGAAAATCATAGCTTGTGTACTAGGACCAGGTTAGTTGGGGAATATACTGGGTTGAATATTAAACTGACAGGAGGTTTAAAGGTTTGATGATGTTAATTTACATGATGAGATGTTCTGCAAGCCATGTGTTGAGCATTTTCTCTCTGTTACCGTCGATTTGACTTGAAATCAGTCATCTCTAACATCTGTAACACCTGCCCAGGGCTGATCTGTTGCTCTTGCATACATGATTATAACACTTTACAAAAAAATCGGTGGTAAAAATTTTGGTTTATTTAACTTTGTGCCAGTCTGCCAGATACTTAGAAGCCATGCATCTGACACAATATTTACATCCCTTCATTTTGTATATTCAACTATTGGGACTTAAGGTGTAGTCTCTTGAAATTAAAGTTAAGCTTTCAAGGGAATGTGTGTTTTCTTTATTATGAGATTAATCTATTAATACAACTAATAAAATAAAATTAATAAAAAGTTTGGGGGTCGGTAAGATTTTTAATGTTTTGGAAAGGAGTCTCTTCTGCTCATCAAGGCTGCATTTATTTGATCAAAAATACAGTAAAATTGTAAAATATTATTAGAATTTGAAATAACCATTTTCTCTGTGAATATCTATTAAACTGTAATGTATTTCTGTGATGCGCAGCTGTATCTTCAGCATCATTCCTCCAGTCTTCAGTGTCACATGATCTTCAGAAATCAGTATAATATGCTGATCTGCTGCTCGAGAAACATTTCTGATTATTATCAATGTTGAAAACACAATATTTTTGTGGAAACCGTGATACGTTTTATTTTTCAGGATTCACAGATGAACAGAACGTTCAAAAGAACATTTATTTGAAATCGAAATCTACTGTAACATTATAAATGTCTTTACTGGCAGTTTTGATCAATTTAATGCATCCTTAATGAATAAAAGTATCGTTTTCTTTCCAAAAAAAACAACATACTGACTCCGCCCCGTTCAACAGCACTGTGCATGAACCAATAATTGGAGATATTTCCACATTTGCTTTATTGATTCTGAGGGACATCTGTGCTTTAAATACATGAAATGGCATGGACTCCTGTACACTGAAAGCAGCATCCGCTGAACCTAATTATTAATAAATGAAGGGCTTCCTGTGGACAGCTGAGAATATTTCTGGACTTACACTGATGATGCTCGAGACTGCTCAGGAGTTCATCGTGGAAGCAGAAGTGAAAGGCTCATTTTGTAATGAATAATTAGTGAGACGGAAAACAGTCTCCTCCATCGGTCTGCAGACATCCAGCGGGGTGTTGTGTGCTTGAATAATTCATCTAACGGCTCTTCATGAGTCCAGACCCTCAGCAGTTCATTCTGCTGTACATGAGCCTGCAGAGCTTGCCCAGGAGCAGCTGGATCTGAACATCAGATGTTTTTAACACGCGGCCTGGGTTATCTGTCGGATGCTTTTTGTGCTTAAAGTTAGATTTATTGTGTTATTTGCCCGAGAAAGACATGACAGTAACTGATTACATTTGATCTAAATTTCTAATGTTTTCAGCTGTTAATCATTTTCAAATATGTAAAGCTCACTTGAAGTAAGATTATAATCATTTAATTTTTAAAGCCCAGCCACCACAAAATCAGACTTACTTGGAGATCATTCTGAGGTTAAATACAGATTTAAAACCATACACTCTTAAAAATAAAAGTGCTTCACGATGCCGTAGAAGAACCTTTTTTGTCTGAATGGTTCCATTAACATCTGAAGAACCTTTCTGTTTCACTAAAGCTTCTTTGTGGCGAAAGAAGGTTCTCCAGATTATACAAAGGTAAGAAAGAGATGGTTCTTTAAAGAATGGTTCTTTGTGGAACCAAAAATGGTTCTTCTGTGAAGCAGTGTAACAAGAAATAGTTTATGATACTGTTTTTGAAATCAAATCTTTGCATAGTTATAACACTGGCGTCTAACAATGACTTGGAAAAAAAACAGTTAATCTTAAAAAATAAAGTATATACATACGTTATCACATAAACGTGTCCTAAACTCCTGAAACATTGCTGTCTCGTATTTTAGAGCAGTCACTGCAATTTATGTAAGAAATAAATTAAATATGTGTGTGTGTGTGTGTGTGTGTGTGTGTGTGTGTGAGAGAGAGTGTGTGAGAGAGAGTGTGTGTATGTGTGTGAGTGAGAGAGAGAGTATGTGTGTGAGTGAGAGAGAGAGAGTGTGTGTGTGAGAGAGAGAGTGTGTGTGTGTGTGTGTGAGAGAGAGAGAGTGTGTGTGTGTGTGTGTGTGTGTGAGTGTATGTGTGTGAGAGAGAGAGTGTGTGAGAGAGAGTGTGTGTGTATGTGAGTGAGAGAGAGTGTGTGTGTGTGTGTGAGTGAGAGAGAGTGTGTATGCGTGTGAGTGAGAGAGTGTGTGTGAGAGAGTGTGAGTGAGA